AGTCTAAGCTGCACTGCGGCACCAGTCAAAAACAAGGCTCCAGGAGTTCACAAACACTAACTGAAATATATCAACAAACTGATGAAGGCCTAGGAGCACTCATTTGTCTATGTCAAACTACTTGGAAGATAAGCTCCCTGGCCAACCAACTGGAAAGATCCGTATTTGTTTCCACTCCAAAGAAAAGTTACCCAATAGAATGAAAGAAAATATCGAATAATATCATTAATATCACATGCCAGTAAACTGCTTAAGATAATGATTCAGAAGAAGATATGGAAATGTCATTGCTGACATCAAATGAACCCTGCCTAAAAGCAGAAAATGTCAAAAAAAAGGTTTACTTGTGCTTTATTGACTATGCAAAGGCTTTTGACTGCATGGGTCATAACAAACTATAGATAACATTAAGAATGGGAATTGCAGACCATTCAGTTTGCTCATGTGGAACCTGTACATAAACCAAGAGGCAGTCATTACAAGAAAACAAGACAATGCTGTGTGGTTTAAAATCACAAAGTGTGCATCAGGGTTGTATCCTTTCACCATACTTATTCAATCTGTATGCTGAGAAATTAATTCAAGAAGGTGGACGTTATGAAGAATGTAGCACCAAGATAGGAGGGAGGCTTATTATCAACCTGTGATATGCAGAAGACCCAAACTTGCTTGCTGAATGTAAGGAGAACTTAAAATACTTGCTGATGAAAATCACTGTAGCTCCAGTATGCATCATAACACAATGTAAAGAAAATAAAAAGCCTGAAATCTGGATCAGTAAGCAGCATAATGATAAATGGAGAAAAGATTGAAGCTGCCAAGGATTTCCTTAGATTCAGCCAATGTCCATGGAAACAACAATAAGGAAATCAAACAGTGCATGGGGCAGTTTTGCTGCATGAGACCTCTTTAAAGTGTTGAGAAGCAAAAGTGCCACTTTGAAGACTAAGGTGTGCCTGACGCAAGCCATGGTTTCTTCAGTCACCTCATAGGCAGGTGAAAGTTAGACAATGAACAAGGAAGCTGGAAGAAGAATCGATGCATTTGAAGTAAGGTGCTAGAGAAGAAAGTTGAATGTGCTACCAACTGACAAATGAAAAAACAAATCTGTCTTAAAGAATTACAGCCAGAATCCTACTTAAGAGATGAAGGCAGTGGTGACTTTGTCTCACATGCTTTTGACTTGTTATCAGGAGAGACCAGTCCTTGGAAAAGGACACCACGTTTGGTGAAGTAAAGGCTCATCAAAAAGAGAAAGACCCTCAAGAAAGACCTTAAGGAGATGAATGGACAGTGGCTGCAACAATGAGCTCAAACGTAATTGTGAGGACAGAGCAGTAGTTCATTGTTGTACACAATCACTATGAGTCAGAACCAACTCCAAGGCACTTAACATAAATATTTTGCTGACTGTAACTAGATGACATTTTAAGACAGTGGAACTTTTATTACGTGATCTATTTTTGTAAATGACACTAGAATACATGTTAAAAATTAAATCTTCTTTAGGAGTACCTTGAAAGTATTTCTTAGCTGCAAAAGGCTCCGGTCAGAAACTTTCCCTATACTTCTAAGAGATTCTCAGAGCTTTTCATCATGAACCAGTAAAACAATCAGGAATATAATGTGTCAGCATAGTTTAAAAAAAGAATTTTACTTACACAAAACAGAGTTTATTTCCACCATTCTGAAAGCTGTGCACATGTGCTAGTAAACCTGTTGGTTGGCAAAATTTGGAGGTAAGAGGTAGAAAGACTCTGAGTAGTGCAAATGGTTAAATTGATAGACTGCTAACCCAAAGGCTGGAGTTCAATGATATCTGAGAAAACTGCAAGGTCTGGTGACATACTTCTGAAAAATTGCCACTGGAAAAAAAAATTGCTCTTGAACCCTCAATAGAACATAGATAGGTCTACTTCAACACACATGGGGTTATCTTGAGTTGGAATCAACTCAATAACAACTGGGTTTTAGTACTGAACAGTAAAGAGCCACCATTCTGAAAACTAAGAACAGGTGCTACTAAAAACTGTACCTCTGAAGTGACCAGTATATGCATGTTGATGTTTAAGATTACTGAAATTCATTTATTTTTCAAATACAGGATAAATAATTAAGAAGAGAAATCATGTCTCTTTCTCCCCCACGTCCCCCAACCCCCATACTGTCTAAAATGTGTTGGGGAAAAAATGCCCATCTATCTGCTTTGGTCATTCAAAATATTTATGGAGCACGTAGTACATGCTCCAGGCAATTCCAAGAGATACGAACACAGCAGTGAACAAAATATGCTTAATCTAAATACTGTTCTTAGTTTATTCCGATTGATGATTCAGGGTCTCCAAACATCATTAAAAATATTAAGCATTACAGATATTACTCTAGAATATACAGATAGGATTGAGCAGATTTTACACCAATCCTAAAGCCAATGAAAACTCACTCACTGCCATTGTGTCACGGCGACCCTACAGGAGAACCTACAGACTACAGCAGAACTGCCCCTGTGAGTTTCCCAGGCTACATATTTTTACAGGAGCAGAAAGTCTCTTTCTATCAAATAGTGGCTGATGGGTTCAAACTGCTGAACTTGTAGTTGTGAGTAGCCCAACAGGTAAAGCAAATAAAGGAAATTTATTTCTGAAAGAATTTTGATTGCTTTAACTATTAAAAAAACAAACAAACAGGATATCTATGGTTTCCAAGGTTTCTAGTGTTTGCATATAAACTATTATAGTTGGAATTCATACGTTCCTTCTCATAATATTTATATGACACTTTAATTTTGTGAGATGTTACAATGCACCTTGTAGAAATGAGGAAACCATATATTCAATAGAAAAGATATCCATTTCCTTGGTGTGGATTTCGACTCATCCTCATAGTGACCCTAAAGGGCAGAGTACAGCTGTCACATAAGCTTTGCAAGGTTGTAATTCTTTAGGGGAAGCTGACTGCCACATCTTTTAAACTCAGAGTGGCTCATGGGTTCAAACTGCCTACCTTTTGGTTAGCAGCCGAAGGCTGAACCACTGTTCCACCAGGGCTTCTTCAATTGAAAAGAAACTAAAAGCACTTAAAATCGACATGCAAGAATACTTTTTTCTATTAAACTGCATTCCATGATGCTCACCTTCCCGACAGGATTCCTAACACAAATGGGTGCAAAAGCAAATGTGGTTAAGAGAGTTGATGGTGCCTGGCTATCAAAAGATATACAAATGCGCTTTACACAATTGATGTGTGTATGGATTGCGATAACAGTTGTATGAGCCCCTAATAAAATGTTAAAAAAAAGAAAAAGATATAGTGTCTAGGGTCTTAAAGGTTTGAAGGTAAATAAGCGGCCATTTAGCTCAGAGGCAACAAAGCCCACATGGAAGAAGCACACCAGACTGTGTGATCACGAGATGTCAAAGGAATCAGGTATCAGGCATCAAAGAACAAAAAATTTTATCATTGTGAATGAGGGGGAATGTAGATTGGAGACCCGAAGTCCATCTGTAGGCAACTGGACCTTCCCTTACAGAAGGGCCAGGGGGAGGAGATGAGCCAGTCAGGGTGCAGTGTAGCTATGATGAAACATACAACTTTCCTCTAGTTCTTAAATGCTTCCTACCCACCCACCCCCACTATCATGACCCCAATTCTACCTTACAAATCCAGCTAGACCAGAGGATGTACACTGGTACAGATAGGAACTGGAAACACAGGGAATCCAGGACAGATGATCCCTTAAGGACCAGTGGTGAGAGTGGTGATACTGGGAGTGTGGAGGGAAGGTGGGGTAGAAAGGGGGAACTGATCACAATGATCTACATATAACCCCCTCCTTGGGGGACGGACAACAGAAAAGTGAGTGAAGGGAGTCGTCGTCGGACAGTGTAAGACAATGGCAAAATAATAATTTATAAATTATCAAAGGTTCATGAGGGTGGTGGAGAGGGAGGCAAAAAAATGAGCTGATACCAAGGACTCCAGTAGAAAGCAAATGAGAATGATGAGGGCAACAAATATACGGATGTGGTTGACACAATGTATGGATTGTGATCAGTTGTACAAGCCCCCCAAAATGATTTTTTTTTTAAATCGACATACGAAGTACTCCAAAAAATATCTCTCCTATGATTCTGCATAACCCTGGAAAGCAGTAAGCAAGGTAAATGAAATGTAAACATCTTCTGTCAAGCTAGACAGTATCTCCTCAACATTTTCTGCATATACAAAAATATCACGGTATCCCTACGGAACCCAACTTGAGAAGTGCGGAAAACCTTTACACGCAATTTAGGCCCTGATCACAAAACAGTAGAAGGCAAAAACCACAGCCTTAACAGAAACACTGGAAACTGGGCATTCTCAAAACCTGGAGGGATCCCACAGCAGGAAGACTCCGACTACACAAGGGCGGACTCATCCCCAACCCAGCGGCTCAAAATTGACCGCGGCCCATTCCACTGTCAGTCGGTTCTACTTGGTGACCCCACCGGCCAGGCGGTCCACATCTCCCTCCCACAAAGCGACTAGTGGATTCGATTAGCAGTCGAGCGCTTTAACCACTGCGCCACCCGGGTTCATCGGGGAAGCCCAAAAGGGTTGGAACTAACGTCTTGCTACCCCGACCCAAGATGGGGCTAGCCAGCCCACGGAGAGGCCACTGCGATGGCGCGAGCACCCCGCGTCCCCCAGGTGCCCTTGGAAGCGGCGGCCCGCAAGAGAGCCGCGCCCGGTCCCCACGGGCTCCAGTTCCGCCAGCCGACCCGTCCTCCCCGAGGCCCGCGGGGCCCGCCGCGCCAGCTCCGCCCCTCGTGTCCCGGCCGGACCCCGAGTCCTCGGGCCCAGGCGGGCAGGCGCGGCAGGGCCCGAGGTGCCCCGGGGCCACCAGCAGCACATTCGACCCACAGGCCGCAAAGGCTGCTTTGGGAGCGGACGCCGCCACAGCCCTGAGCAGGCCCGCGCCCGGGGCTACGGCCTGGGCGAACGCCAGCCCCGTCTCGCACCTGCGTTCCTACCACGACGATCTGAGGCAGCTGGATGATGTCGGCGCCCACGGTGTTGAAGACGTCCTGGAGCTTGTTGATGACAGGAATTAGCGCCTCCATGGCTCCCAAGAAGACGGGACCCCAGCCCAGCCGGCCGCGGCAATGAATGGGGACGGGGCCCAGAGTCCACCTCCTTCCTCTTCTTCTCGGGAGCCGGCGCCCATTGGACCGGGCCGCCAGCTACCTGCCCCCTCCCGGCAGGCCATGCGCCAAGAGGGAGGTGGAGAGACGCAAAGCCTGCCGGGAGTGGTAGTGAACTAGCGGCGGCCCACCGCTGCCTACAGCTCCCAGAAGGCTGCGCGGCGCGTCCTTTTTTCCCGTCCGGAGGGAGCTGCTCCGCCGCTGGCGTTGTGCCGTGAGTTCTTGTCATGAGACTGTGAAATGACGCCGTTTCCATGTCCTCGAGGCATACTGCTGTTGTTTTTAAATTGCCTATTATACACTGAAGGTGAGTAGGCCCCGACTCAGAACGACCAGAGGTAAAACAAAACAAAACCCGTTGCTATAGAATCAACCAGGGTAGAGTCGAACTGCCCCCTAGGGTTAACTCCGCTGGGTAATCTTTCCTACAAAAGCAGCCCGCCGCCTCCTCAACTTTTTCCTCCCAGAGTGATTGTTGGGGTTGAAACGCCTATCTTTCGGTTAGCCGCGCTTAAATCACTGTGCCACCAGAACTCTCAGGTCTGAATTCGTATCACGTGTGTAACCTATCGTGTTCATTAGAGTGGAGCCTCTTGATGCAACCAGTCTGTGTACGCTGATCCTCGAAGGTTGGACTGCAAAAGCACCAAGCCACTCAGGTTACAGCACACAGGCTTTCCAAGGTTTTATAAAAACCTTTTCAGGAACAATCTTAAGAGTGTGAGAATTTCAATGAGGGAGGATTGAGTTCTTTTTCTCACTGGTGTATAAATTTTCATTTGCTGCAGCCTGATTACTGACCAAGTTGAGATTTGCTAGCTGCTTTCCTTGTTTTTTGCTAAAACTGTTCTTTCCCTAAATGTTGGGGGTCTTTGCCTTTAAATTTTATTTTATTGTTGAGACTATACATACCAAAGCATAGACCAACTTAATAGCTTCCACCTATACAATATGATAACATTAATTATAGCCTTTGAGTTATGCAAGTTTTCCCTCCTTTTCCGAGTTATTTCTCCCTGGTCAACCTCAACGCAAGCGCTCCTAAGGATCCTATGTAGTCTTTGAAATTGCTCCTGTCAATTTGATTCCATACAGGGAGTTCTTAAAAAGGCACAGTGCTCATGGCAGACCAAAAAGTATTTAAGTCATTGGGATAGACTTGCACTAATCTCTTGACTGCCTTCATGCAGTCATCATCAGGTGTATGTATCAACTTTATTTGAGAAGGAAAATCTCTTTGAACTTAAAACACTTTTGCCTTTCTTTTCATGGGAGATTCCAATGTGTCGATGTTGTATCATGTGGTTACATGAATTTATCTCTGACACTTCTGGGATACTTCCCTCATTTGCTTGCTCCTATCTAAAACCTGGACAGTGAACTGCTTGGCAATCAATATTTAGCATTATTTGTTTTGTTATGCTTTCAAATTTTCAAAATTTTCTCTTAAATTATGTGATTAATGACTGCTGGAGATTTGTGCATGCTTTTAAAATCGCTTCAGAACCTTGGTGTGTTGGGCTGGCCTAACAAAGAAACAAATTCAGCGACACTTGTATATGTGTAAGAGAGCTTTATATCAAGAAGTAATTATATATCAAGAAAATATCCCAGTCCAGATCAAGTCCATACGTCCATTACTAGTCCATTAAGTCTCTCTTCAGACTCACACAACTACATACAATGATGCAGAATGCAGGAAGCTCATAGGTCAGATGGGTGCAAAGTCTTGTGGATCCATTGGTGGTGGAAACATCACAGGGCTCTAGCAGGTCTCCATAAGGCTCTTCAACAGGAAGGTGAAGGCAGAAAGAGCTAGGCAGGAGGTTCCCAGGGCCCTCCTTATGAGAAGGTCATGCCCACAAGGAGGCACCACCAAGCTGTGACCTGATTGATAGGCATGCAATTATGTTACTACCACACTTGGAGTGCTTGACTTGTCTGAAGAAAACACTGCAATATATAAAAAACTCAAATTCACTGCCATTGAGTCATTCCAACAAATAGTGACCCTATAGGACAGGGTAGAACTGCCTCTGAGTTTCCAAGACCATAATTCTTCACGAAAGTAAAAACCCTGGTCTTTCTCCTTCAGAGTGGCTGGTGGTTTTGAACTACTGACCTTGCAGTTAATAGCCAAATGCACAACTATAACGCCACCAGGGCCTTCAAAAATTTATGGGGAAAAAATACCATTATTTTTCAATTCCATTTTTTCCACAAATTTTTTGAAGCCTGCTGATACTATTCCACATAGCCAACATAAATACTCTAGTGTTTGTATTTAGTTGGCAAAAGTCAGCTTCTCCTTTGGTTTATTATTTTGTATTTTCAGCAATATTTTCTAATACATCTAGAATCTGTACAATTCCAATATTGCACTCAATGGTATATAGCACAGCGGTTCTCATCTTGTGGGTCACGACCCCTTTGAGGTCGAACGACCCTTTCACAGGGGTTGCCCGATTCATAACAGTAGCAAAATTACAGTTAGGAAGTAGCAACAAAAGTAATTTTATGGTTGGGGGGGACGGTCACCACAACATGAGGAACTGTATTAAAGGGTTGTGGCATTAAGAAGGTTGAGAACCACTGGTATAGCATATACTTCCCAACATATGTTAGAAAGACATTTTAATGCTTGACTATTGCCTTACTGTGTTTGAAGAACTACCCATTGGTGAGTAGAGGCAGCAAAAATATTGAGAGGAACTGAACAGTAGAAAAAATACCAATGCTTCCAGACAACAATCTACTGTGTTACATTCTATAAATCAAGTGAATGCACAAAACATAGTTTGAAAATAGAATTGGATTGTTTCTTGTCCTTTTTTTCTTTCACAATTATACAGGTTTATTTGGGAAGTTAATAGGTTAGGATTGTTTGTCTCCTTGCTGCTGCAGTTTTCTATAAATTTTAGAGATTATGTTGGGGGAACTGGAGTCAACCCATTATTATTGTATGATGGAAAATAGCTTAGAAGAATCATAGAACAATTATATAGTGTGTCTTAGACATAGCTTAATTGGTCCTCCACAGCTGTGACCGTAAGTTAAACCCTTCTAGCCTGTCTCCCAAGAATCTGTGATTTTGTCCAGGCACCAGTTCTCAGGGATACTAAGTCAAAAACCGAATTCTTACCTGAGTGTTAATGAATCTTCCCCAGGCTTTTTTCCCCCTTCACTAAGAACCAACCCCTGCAAACCTGGCCTATCTCCTCGAGATTTAGAGTCTCTAGAAATGTGAAACTAGAAAAAATAATAAATAAAGACGTTGGAGGAAAAAAAAGAAATGTGAAACTGTAATATGCACAATCTTTGTTAAAACAAAACTGTTTTCCCAGTGTCTGTCTGAAAAACAAAACCGTTTCACTCGGCCTATAGGTATGCTGTGAAAACAAAGAAATGGGGAGATGGTCGTTAGAGGAAAGACCCCACAGTACTCCTTTTCCATGCATGTGAAAATAAACTTAGAATCCTTGAGTAAACCTGGTTTCTATAATCTGGCAATACTGGGCTTCCTACCACAGGCAGACCCTTGTCCGCTATATCATTGCCTACCCTACCACAGGCAGACCCTTGTCCGCTATATCATTGCCCCAAGGCTATAAGTTCCCTTCTTACTCTTTGAAGTCTTTTGGTGGAGCATTTGAGCATTATGTGTTTCATTTTTAGGAGGTCCCATTAATCTAGTTTATTTTCAATTGCTGCCGCATTTTCAGTTCTCCATACCATATATCATGACTTCTGGTGTTGTCCCTATTTTTTCTTCCATGATCGTAAAAGTTTTATTACATGACATTATTAAAATGTTATGGTTGGAGTACTTACTGTGAGGCACTGTGTTAAAGCATTTTACAACAGCCTTGGGAGGTAGGTTTACACATGTGGAAGTTGAGGAGAAGGGTTTAAGTAAAATAGATAGCTGTCCAGTGGCAGTGCTGATATTAAAACAGGCTGTTAGGCAAGTTCTAAAACATCTGCTTCCCTAAAGATATGTTGTAGTTACTACCGTGAGGTGCTGTGAAGTTGCCGTCAACCCTAGAAACCTTGCATAGAAGACAGTGAGGCCCTGCTCCACGCAGAGCCTTCCTCACAGTTGTTGCTAGGACCCAGCCCACTGGGGCAGCCCTGTGTCAGTCCACCTTGTTAGAGGGGCTCCTCTTTTCCACCGACCCCTGACTTTACAGTAGGCACATGTCATCCCCAGGGACAGTTCCCCTCTGACAGTGTGCCCAAGTAAGCAAGATGAAGTCTCACTGGCCTCACTTCTAAGGAGCTGTACCTTTCATAAGAAAGTTTTATGCCTTGTTTGGGCAGTCCTTGTTACACTCAGTCTTCTTGCCAACACTATAATTCAAAGGCATCAATTCTTTTGCAATTCCTTGTTCAGTTTTTGAGTCAATTGAAAAATACTTTGGTTTGCCTTAAGCCTACCTTAGTTCTCTAAGTGACCTGAGATCCCTGTGTGTTGAACTTTCTGATTAGGAAACAGAAAAATGTGACACCAGAGGTGTGGCAGAGCGCAGCAGCAGCAGAGCCAGAGCATGGGATAGAGTGGTGGTCTTCTTGGTCTCTGGAGCATGGTGCAAACAAAGCTGAGTCCCTTTGGGTTGGAAGTTCCCTTGTAGAGTAGAATGACTCTTGTCACTTAATCGGGGAAGCTACGTTTGCTTACCCATGAAGCTAGAGCCAAATAAATGCCTTTGGCCTGAATTTAAGGCCGAGTGGAGAAGAGGAGAGTTCTTTGGCTATTTATCAGCATTGCCCAAAGAGCTTTGTAACGTTGCCTGGACCAGGCAGAGGTCAGTGATCTGTGGGGCTGAAAGGCTGAAGACCAGAGACTGGCTTGCTTATTATGGGCATGGCAGAGAAGAAGCTGCCCTGCCCAAATAATTGTACCCTGGATACTTCTGATCTCAAACTGAAACCTGTTAACTTCCTGAATAAGCCCCACAAATGTGAGTATAATCAGCGAGTTCTGTGTGGTCGTTGCAATTAATTAGCAAACGCAGCAGAGAAGTAGAAAGGGCTGTGGGAGGGAGGAATTGGTAAGGAAAGTTGGAGCATGGAGGCATGTCTGACCTCTGCCTCATAGGACTGAGCCTGAGACTCATGAGTGTGATTGCCTTCCCCTTCATGAAGTCAGAGGAGGTCAGACATAGTGCCTCCCCAAGCCCTCAATATCACCCCCACGTCATTTTTGCACAAGGCTTCCTGACTGTATGCTTGATTCATTTCAGGCCGCAGAAATTGGTAAAAGCCTTCAATTTCTTCATCTTTGACAATTGTGGTTAATGTCCTAGTCATAGTAAGTGGATTTCCTTATACCTATATT